CTCCCTGCATTGTGCCTACATAGGCAAATTAACCACCATCTTGTTGGCAGTTAACTGCCATCTTAGTTGGCAGTTAATTTGCATATAGCCCTGATTAGCCAATGAAAAGGGTAGCGGTCGTATGCCAATTACCATATTTCTCTTTTATTAGTGTAGATATTTATACAGCCTTTATAGTCTCTTGGTCAGTGAGGGCAAGGAAGCAAATATCCCCACAGGCCCAATGCCCTAACTCATGACGAAGAGGCAACTTCTAAGAAACTGCAACCTCTGCATAGGAACCCCTCAGTTCCTAGATTAGGAGGAATTGGCAAGGGGCTCCCACCAAGTCACCTGCCAAATATGCCGTGTCACTGCTAGTCCAAGGTTGTGACAGCCACTGGTTCCCCAACCCTGTTCATTTGCTGTCTGCCTCTCCCCATCAGTGGCAGAGGGAGACTTGGAATGCTGACCCCCTTCCTTGCCCTTTCCTCTCTGCCTATGCAATTGGTTGGCCATTCAGATGCAGGGCTGCAGCGTCCAAGGGCAAAAAGCAGAAGGTAGGGCCTTGGGGGCATCAGGAGGTGGGAAGAGGGCTGCTGAGAACCCACCATAGGAAGGCAGGGTATGTGGGTGAGCCAAGGCTCTAAGACTCAAGCACAGGTTCCATTGTCCAGTCGGCTTTCATAACAGATTCAAAGTAAATCATTAAACATTTCAAGATGGCAACCTGAGAGCATTAAACCACTAAACATGGGGTCCTGTGAGGGCACAAGTTGCATGCCCATGCAGACAGCCGTGTACAGTCGTGTGTGTGTGTGTGTGTGTGTGTGTGTGTGTGTGTATTTCATTTCAACACTACAGAAGTCACACTAAAATGTGACAGCAACAACGTTCTATCTTTAGTAAAATAAAGTGACTCAAAGACTTGCCAAACTCATGTTCCTATTAGTATCCATGGTACTCCCTTAGTTTTATCTTATTTAGATTACATGTATCAGTTTATCAGTTTCAACAATATGAGCAAGTACCATAAATGGGTAAATTAAGTACTTCCAACAGCTCTCAATCATGACATAACCACATATAATCATGAGGTCTATGGAAATATATATTTGCTTAAGGTATTGTAGTACTTTCTCAGTCACTTGCAATCTTCTGTATTTTTTAAACTACCAAGAAAGAAGCTGAGTTATGGCAGGCTAGAAAGGGCACGAAACTGTGAAAACTTGTATCAAGTGCCTCACTGGAGTATGTTGTATGTCCTTTATGTGAATAATAAATACTAACAAAGTTACTATAAGGAAATATATGTAAAATACTTAGATTAATTAATATTTGTGGAATACAAATGAATATTTTTAAAACCTTACCTCTCCCATTTCTTGTCTCAGTTGTTCAAATTCCTGTTTTTCCATTTCTAGCTTATGCTTCCGTTCTTCCTCTGTTCGTCGTTTTTCTTCTTCCATTTTTTGTTTTAATAATTCTTCAAAATTAAATTCCAGTTTTCCCGGTGTAAGAGATTCTTGAGAGATTGTTTTATACATCTCTGGGGAGTCATCATCTACTACCTATATAAAATAATTATTTTATCACCCTTGTCAGAATTATGCTTACTAGTACTAAAAAGGGAATATTTCTTATAGAAACTATGATTATTGGAATACAAAGGTTGTACATTGAACTAAAAACCAGGAGACCTAAATTATCTTCAAAAATACAAAACAATAAATGGGAGGAATTATTAGAAAATGTAGACTAAGGTATTTTGTGATTACAGAGGAAATGGTGACCATCTATTCTCCATCCCAATGAACACGATGAAATACTTTGAGTTTATACTATCAGTTATTGAAATTAGACATTAAGATCCCCTAATAGTAAACACTTTTTAATTGGATTAAAATAAACCTGTCGTAAAAAAAAATAGAGCATTTCAGTTTAATCACAGTTTTGTCTGAATGAATTAGATAACCCCTCAAGATCCCTTCATAATCAAGCAGAAATTAATGCTATGATTTTATTATACTGATTTATTTATTGATTTATTATTGATTTCAGAGAGGAAGGGAGAGAGTGTAGAGAGAGAGATTAATTGGCTGCCTCCTGTACACCCCATACTGGGGATCAAGCCCACAACCTGAGCATGTGCCCTGACCAGGAATTGAACAATGACCTCCTGGTTCATAGGTCAACACTCAACCACACTGGGTCACACTGGCTGGGCTGTACTGGTTTATTTGTGGTCAGCCCAATTGAAAACTAAATAATAGTTAATATAGCCGCCAGGAACAATGCTAAGCACTTTACATGTATTGAATTATTTTATCTGTAACTCTACGAACTAGGATTTATTAATATCCCCATTTTAAGGCACTGAAAAGTAACTTGTTCAAAGTTAATACAAATAAGTGGTAAATGTAGGAATCAAATCTTAAAGGTCTTTCTATAATAAAATTATAAATAATGATTTAGACTCTTTTTAGTACTTTCATGAATTCCATGTCTAACTGCCATTTTTTCCCCAGGAATTGAATATATGGGGTGACATTGGTTAATAAAATTACATGGGTTTCAGGGTTACAAATCTATAATACATCAGCACCCCCAGTCAAGTTTTCTTCCATTACCATTTATCTCCCCTTTACCGTCTCCTACCTCCCTCCACCCCACTATCCCTCTTGTAATCACCATACTGTTATCTAGTCTAACAGCCATTTAGATGTGACCTTGAGCAAGTTATCTAGCCAAAGTCTGAGTCTCCTTATCTGCAACAACTTTCATGGAGTTGTCATGAGAACTAAATAAAGTATGGAAACACTTAGCTGTGCTTGACACCATGATAACAAAATGGCAGTTTTATTATTACATTATTCCCTGTATATAGGCAATCTCTAAATTGCAATTAGAAATTTTGCTTTAAAATCACTGACTTGGAATACACTTCACCATGAAAAGCAATTGCCTACTTCTCTTTTCCTATCTTCTGAAAGTATATACATAAACCTCTGGCTTGAAATAGACATAGGGGAAAGAGAGAGGCAAAGGGTAATTATTTGTTCTAAGATTTATATATGACAGGCTTTACCAAAGAACCAGTTCAACTAAGAAACAATGTTTAGCCCTGACTGGTTTGGCTCAGTGGGTAGAGTGTTGGCCTGCGGACTCAAGGGTCCCAGGTTCGATTCCGGTCAAGGGCATGTGCCTTGGTTGCGGGCACATCCCCAGTGGGGGCTTCCAGGAGGCAGCTAATCAATGTTTCTCTCTCATAGATGTTTCTAGCTCTCTGTCCCTCTCCCTTCCTCTCTGTAAAAAATCAATAAAATAATATTTTTTTAAAAAAAGAAAGAAAAGAAACAATGTTTATATGGTCTTAACATCCAAAGATTGAAAAAAAAATTTTAGTGATATATGAATTAGCTGATCTATAATATGAAATGATGCCGAAACCGGTTTGGCTCAGTGGATAGAGCATCGGCCTGCGGACTGAAAGGTCCCAGGTTCGATTCCGGTCAAGGGCATGTACCAGGGTTGCGGGCACATCCCCAGTAGGAGATGTGCAGGAGGCAGCTGATCGATATTTCTCTCTCATCGATGTTTCTAACTCTCTATCTCTCTCCCTTCCTCTCTGTAAAAAATCAATAAAAATATATTTTAAAAAAATATGAAATGATGATACTTGGCCCTGGATAAGAAAACAATATAAATGAAGGGGAAACTTTTCTGATAACATAAATGTCTCTAGGAAACTAGGTTTTTTGTTTAATACAGTTTTCCTTCCCTGCACTATTCCACTAGTGAATCACTGGGCATAAAATCTGCCCCCAGGAGTAGCTTTCCTGATCTTCAAAGCTACTTCATTTACCATTTCTGAATTATTCTACAAAAAATAGGTGGTTTCACAATGTTTGCAGGGCTTTTGTATAGAACCCATTTGTGAAGCAAGGATTACCTCACAATGCACATAAGACAGCTTTAATCTCACTTATTCCACAAACATTAACAGAAGTTTTTTATGCTAGAATATGTTGTTCCACATGCTTGGTGAATGGTCTCAGCCTCACTGAGTGTAGCGACAATACAACATTAGTGTTACGCTGGGGAAGTCCTAAATGTTATGAGAAGGCATAAAAGGAAGACATCTGTGGAACACGTGTTAGCAGGAAAGGCTTCCCAGAGAAAATGGAACTAGGAAATAGCAGAACACAGGAAAGGACCGAGGGACATGCTTCACATAGCATTCATGAAAGCCTAGCTTTTTGAAGAACTGGGAAGAAATTTAGCGTGTCTGGCAGGTCCAAGAAGAATCAAGAAATGAAATGAGAAATATAGTAGGGCAAGATTATAAAGAAATTTGTTTAAAAAGTTTGTGTTTTTTGCTTACAGGAAGTGGAAATTTTTGTACATTGTCAAATTTATTTATTTTTTAAAGAAAGATCACTGCTGGCTTTTCAGGGAAGAATGGATTAAGGGCAAGAAAACAAGTTAATTAAGAGTTGGCCCAAGGCAAAGGGTAACAATGACCTGGATTATAGTGGTAGAAGTGGGAAATGTGAGGAAAATGATAGATTTTTCTGTTGTGAGTATCTGGTTGGGTAACAAAGCCTCAGCAACACTTGGATGTATGTGTCTGAAGCTCACCCAGACACGGGAAGAAAGCCAGACCACCAAAGCCAATGGAAGTGTTTCAAGGAGGAGATGCTGTGTTCACACGTCACCTTTTCTTGAAAAGAAAGTTTGTCAGATAACTAGATTTCACGATCATTAAAATGGTCTGAGAAGTATAACTTTGTGAGAGTTAAGGTTGGTAGCAATCTCCAGCAATGATATTGCTGGTGAGCATTTTGGAGTTAAATACTTGTGATTAAATAGCTTTAAATATATACTGGATGTGATGGAAATTGAAAAGAGAAAGAGAGGAAGGGAGGAAGGAGGAAATGTGGGAAGGGGAAGGAGAGTGGAGAGGAGGGAAGGAAAGGTGGAGATAAAGAAAATTCCCTATTCGGATACTTGGCCCTGGAAAACATGCTCTCCCGGAGAAGGAAGACCATATTCAACCCTCTATGCCAGACAAAGCAATTCAATTAGAACCTTCTCAACACCACATGGAAACAAACACCTGTAAATGGCAGGTGTTACATCACAGGAGACTTAAAAACTGTTTGCCATCCCTACTGTTGGCACAAATTTCAGAAACAACAGGGTATTCCCCAAAATTTAATGGTTTCTCTTAACTGAAAACCTGAGTGAATCCTAATGGCGTTATCCAGTTATATTCTGTCTTACCATGCTTCTCCGTGCTTCAGCAAATGCCTTCTTTTCCTCCTCTATTCTCCTTCTGGCTTCTTCTTCTGCTTTCCTTTTTTCCTCTTCTCTCCTTTGTCTTTCCAGCTCTTCAAAACTGAGTTTGAGTTTCCCAGGGCGGTACCTTTTAAAAATGTTTTCTGTGTCTTGGTTTTCCTCCTCTTCATTTACCTAGCCAAGAAACAACTCTCACTCATCAAAGACAGGAATGAATTATCAATCAAAGGGCACAGAATCAGCCATCTCAACAGGAATATTTCTTTGCCTTAAATATACTTGACCTAAATCCCCTTCTTTTATAATATCATATATGATAAAATATTCAAATTTGAACAAATTCCAAATAAATATATACTCAAGTTAAATAAAACTTATCAAGCTAGTCAAAATTTTAAATAGATCCGATGAAGCATTTAAAAATTTAAGGGGACATTTAAGAGTTATTAAACATTAACTTTCCCAGAACAAACATATAGCACAAGTGTGTGTGTGTGTGTGTGTGTGTGTGTGTGTGAATGTACTTAAACTGAGGTTAAAATATACCTACACAGAGTCTCTTTGGAAGTAAAATAAATTTCTCATAAAAATATTTATGTAAAAGTAAAATTTTATTTTATAATTAAGATTCTAATTTAACATTAAATTGAAATTTGTTATTTGATTAATTGATGGTATTTCTATTTCAGTTCACTAAGCTGACAACTAAAGATATCTAAAATATATAGATATTATGCAACTATGATTACCCCAAATTCATAACATTTTCAAACAAATGTCTAAAAAATTAAAATTTTGGAGATATATTCCTTAAAACATCATTAATAAAAGTTGATCAAGAAATTATGAAAGCTTTAAAAAATGATAGAGGTTCAATTTTTAAATTCTTATGCAATCTGGAATTGGTGTTTTCTTATTTCAATTTTATTTTTCATTGATAAATCTATTAATAAGAGTTAACATTTTTGAAGCACTTATTATATGACACTATTGTAACTGCTTTTGGTATTAACTCTTAACAATTAAGAAGTAGGCACAGTCCTAACTGGTTTGCTGAGTGGATAGAGCGTCAGCCTGCTGACTCAAAAGTCCCAGGTTTGATTCCGGTCAAGGGCATGTACCTTGGTTGTGGGTACATCCCCAGTAGGGAGTGTGCAGGAGGCAGCTGATCGATGTTTCTCTCTCATCAGTGTTTCTCTCTATCCCTCTCCCTTCCTCTCTGTAAAAAATCAATAAAATATATATTTTTTAAAAAGTAGGCACAATTATTTTCACAATTTTATAAATGAGGAAACTAAGACAGGTTAAATAATGCCCATGTTATACACTTTAATGGAAGACATCTGAACCCAGGCAGTCTGGCTCCAAAACTCATGTTGTTAATGATTACACTGCGTGTGTGTGTGTGTGTGTGCGTGTGTGTGTGTGTGTGTGTACACATACTAGAGGCCTGATGCACTTGGGGGATCCCTCAGCCTGGCCTGCCCCCTCTCACAGTCCAGGAGCCCTCAGGGGATTTCCTACTGATGGCTTAGAGGGGAGCAGGCCTAAGCCGCAGTCTGGCCTCCCTCTGCAGGAGAAAACTGGGCCGGTCATGGGAAGGCGCCACCCCTTTTACCCCCACTGCTGCTGCCACTGCCGGCCGCCGTGGCTGCTGGCCCTCCTTGGCCCACGCAGCCACTGCGGTTTTGTCTGGAAGGACATCTGGTCTATCCGGTCTAATTACCATATTATCCTTTTATTAGTATAGATTATTAGTATAGATAAGCTTGTTTTACCATTTGCTGCCTTGCTTCTTCAAAAGCACGCTTCTCTTCTTCTAAACGTTGTCTTGCTTCTTCCTCAGCTTGCTTCCTTCGATTTTCTTGCCTTTGTCTTTCTAATTCTTCAAAAGTTAGTTTCAGTTTTCCAGGAGAAGTTGATTCTTTTTTTGCCTCATCATCCAGTTCATCATCCTAAGAAAACATAAAAACCCATCTTTTAATCATAAAGTAAATTCTGATAACCATCTCTACTGCTTTAACTTGCTCCTTAAGGGAAAAAAAAAAAAATTACCATGACCAGTGAAAGACACTTTGCTTCCTTGAGAGACCGTCGTTGTTCTTCATATCTTATTCTTTTATCTTCTTCAGACTTGACCCTTTCTTTTTCTTCTCTTTCTTTTTCTAGATCCTCAAAATTCTTTATTTTTCCAGATGTTTTGTGTGATTTCACAGGTACTACTGTTATAAGTAGTGAATCATCTCCTTCCTAATTTATAAAATAGACAATTAGCATATTCCTAATCAAAATTTAGGTTTCATGGGACTTTACCTCCATCATTGGTGAATTTCATTAAATTGTCATCAATGTTATGAAGAACAAAAATTTATATTTTTTTACAGATTTTTATTAAATAGCTCTATCTCCAAAGTCATTGTATATTATGAGTTAATGTAATGCAAATCCATTGCTGATAAGGTTCAAGGATCATCTTCTTCCCTAGAAGATGGTGTTAATACAGCTGTTCAGATAAAACTACATGACATTAGCTGAATTTACTAGTAGCTATTCATGCACTAATCCCACAAAAGGTAGTGTGCAAGTGAGTACACTGTAAATCAATTTGATGGTGGAAGGATTCAGTTTAAACACACAAAGTTTCTCCATTTTTCTCTCTATGCAAGTTTTTATTTTATATCTCTTTAAAATGTTTTTTATTGATTTCAGGGAGAGGGAGAGAGGGACAAATATCAATGACAGAGAATCATTGATCAGGTGCCTCCTGCACACCCCTACTGGGGATCGAGCCCACAACCAGAGCATACCCCAACCTGGAATCGAACTGTGACCTTCTGGTTCACAGGTCGACACTCAACCACTGAGCCAGACTGGCTGGGCTCTCCATGCAAGTTTTTAAATACTTAGTAAAGCAAATATTTAGTAGGTAAAAACAAACAGGATTTCCAAGTGACTAATAAAACATTTTTATACTAGAAACAAAACTCTTCGGCATTTGAGCTTCTTGAAACTCTTAAATTTGTTTTTGTTTTTGATGTATTTTAGTTCCATTACATAATCTATTGTTGCTTCCAATTTATGTGGCTGTAGTTTTAGGCACACCATCAAATTGATTTTTAACTTTCTGTTAGATAGAAAGGGGTAACTAAATTTTCTGTGGCTGTTAAATTTTTCTTTATGGTAATAGATAATACTGCACTCTCTACTAATATGTGGTAACCAAATAAACTATCAGGAACTCTGAGGAAAGAAGACAAATGATGAAAAGAAAACTGCCTTTTTAAACTGTAAGCTTTCAACAATATCAACTATTAGTGATAGTTAAATAAGTATGTAGACTTGCCAAAGTTATCTCAAACTGAGGCCGTCTCTAACTGTAAAAACAAAACATACTTTTCTTTAAAAACACTAAGGTATAATGTCAAAAGTGCAAAAATATGATCTTGCTTTGCAAAATATTTTTGTCCTTTTTATTGTTGTCGCTGTATTTATAATAAAAAGAATAAAAACTTAATTTTTAATTAAAAGATTATTTGTGAATCAGATAGTTTTAGGTGAATGTTTCATTAAAGTAAATGTCCATTTACCTCTGATGCTGATTCAGTTCCCGTATTGTTTATGTCCTCAATCTATTGAATGAGAATTTCATATCATTACATTACATCAGATTTCTATTGTTTTTTGCTTTTAAACATACAATGGAAAACTAATTTAATTATGACTTATGGTAAAATTTTAATTTATAATTTTTGAAATATTTTTGTTTCAAATTAGCTAATTATATCCCTTTAATTGAAGATTAAATCTTATATTGGTTTTTGCATTTTGATATAAATATCAATATCTAGGGGCCAATATATTAAGAAAAAATTAAAATAAAGCCTACCTTTGTAATATTCGAATTTGGATAATTGGCCAAACTCATGACCTGGCAGTGAGCTTACATAAGCATCAGTTATTAATAAAATTATCCATTTAAACTGAGATACAGAAACATTTCTCCATTCTCTTTCTCTGCCCCAGTAAAAGAAAATCTATTGTTAGCAATCAAATAATCATAACTGTATTTACAATAAAAATATATGGCAAAAAATATAACTGACACAATAAAGTGTGATGAAAGGTAATAGGCTTTCACGTGGCTAGTTTAGAAAGGGAAAAAATTTCTGGAAGTCATAATTGTTTATATTTTGACCAAATCTAGGTAGGGAAGTCCCTCATTCAAAAGGAGGAAGCTCAATTTCGCCATTACTCGTAAGAAATATCACTGTTAGCTTGAAGGGCAGGCTAATGTACAAAAACTGAGAAATGAAGAGAAGAAAGGTAATTTAAAAAATGCAGTGTTTGAGATCTCAGGAAAAAGAAATATAAGCAATGGGAAAAGTTAGAAAGTAAAAATTCCGATTGTTTATTATCTTAATTTGATTTTTAACTCCGGTGAAAGAGCCTGGGAGTAGCGTGTACCTCAAGCAGCCTAAGGGAATTCTGTTGTACCTTGGTTCATACTAGGAACTGGGCTGGCTAAGGCCCTGTTCTGACACCATCCCACTTTTCTGTGTTCTCTGTCAAGTAAGAAGTAACACATTTTATTAAGATACCAAACTTCTTGAAAAATAAATTATTCTGAACAAATCGTTAAAATATATCTTTTTATATTTTAATAGTTGATCAATAGTGTTCAGAGTAATTTGCTTTGTTACAGAATTATTTATCACACTGATTTGCCATGTAAATGGTGAACGCTTTATTGAATGATGTATTATACTAAGAAACAATTTACTGGATCTATAATGAAATAACTACAAAATTATTTCCTTTCGAAAAGATGTTAACAATTCCTCTACAAATCACAATCTCTCAATAAAAAGTTCTAAGAGATATGATGAGAAGCCAGACATTGAGAGTATTGGGAAGAATTTCACTCAGCCTCCCTCCTGACTCAGGAATCCCTCCTATAGCTTTTTTAAAAAATTGATTTCAGAGAGAAAGGAAGGCGGGGAGAGAGAGAGAAGGGGAGAGAGTCGCCGATCTGTCATTCCACTCATTTATGCATTCATTGGTTGATTCTTGTATGTGCCCTGACCAGGGATTGAAGCCGCAACCTTGGCTTATTGGGATGACACTCTAACTGAGCTACCCAGCCAAGGCTATAGCATTCTTGAATATGGACTCGTACAAGCGGGTTTTTCAAACAAACATTAAGACTCTTCTTGCCCTAGGCTACTTGGCTCAGTGGAGAGAGTGTCAGCCTGTGGACTGAAGTGTCCCAGGTTCGATTCTGGTCAAGGGCACATGCCTGGGTTGTGTACTTGATCCCCTGTAGGGGGTGTGCAAGAGGCAGAGATGATTTTCTCTCATTATTGATGTTTCTATCTCTCTCTCCCTCTCCCTTCCTCTCTAAAATCAATTTCAAAATATTTTTTTAAGAAAAAAAGATTCTTCTTGACTATCTATGTCATACTTTACTACTTATATTCAAAGAAAGATTAATTGTATTAGATATGAGCAGAAAATATACTTAATTAGGATTTTAAATTATTTGCAAGATAAAAATTGCTATTAGTAGTTCATTTCGTTCTATCTAAATATTCTCAAATAATTAAACAGGCCAAAAATTTCATTAACCAAGACTGTATGGCACCCTGCCACATAGTATCAGGGGTTACTGAGGTGGTTCTCTTTCATGATTATATTTTATTTCCATCTCTCTTTGAGTATCGTATGTATTCATCATGTTCAAACTCATGTCTTCAACATACACATAGTTTTTCTTTGAGAAACCACTACCTACATATTCAGTGCCTGGGGTTACGATGGGTCTAGTGAGTAATCAGTGCTTTTTTGAAAATGGACAAGACTTAAAAGAAGTACACTAAACAATGTGCATACTCATTGTTTGCTACCAAACACCCTGTATTTTCATTATATATTTTATTATAATGCTATTACCTTATTTTATACTTTATACAAATGAAATTACATATATATTGTCTTTATAATCTACATATGTAAAAGGCTAATAAGTGTCCCCTTGGGAATTCCACCTGGAGACTGGGAGTTTGATTGCTCACTATGACGTGCACTGATCACCCGGGGGTGGCGCAGAACATGATGGGTGACCAGCAGCAGCGGCGGGGCGCTGAGGGAGCAAGGGAAGGAGGAGGCAGGGAGGCAGGGGGAACCGCATGCTGGCGGCGGCGTGTGGGTGGCGAGGGAAGGAGGAGGTGGGGAGATGGGGAAGGCGGGAACCTGTTTGGCCCTGATCACCAGCCAGGCCTAGGGACACTACCCGTGCACAAATTTCACACACTGGGCCTCTAATATTATAATTGTATTCCCTTGTGAAATTTCATTGCAAAGGTACACTAGTCTTTTATAGAGGTGTCAGGGGCAAAGTATATACCATCCTTTCCTCAGATAGAGGTACATCGTCATAAAATAGAGGAATTTTCAATTGTTGCCTATAATTCATCTGGCATATGTCATTAACTGCCACCATGCAAGTGGTTATTGGTGCCATAGAAGTGGTTATTTGCAAAGTCTAGGTAAATAAATGTCTTTGACATGCAAATATGGCGTATGCTTTGCTTTCTTTGTCATTTTTCTTTTTAGAAAGTAGCAGAAGCTGAAAAGAACATAGCAAATAGATTTAAGGCACTTAAAGAGTAGGCAAAAAAAAAAAAGCCAAGTACAATCTCACAATTACAATGTGTGTTTTTTTAAGAGATAATATACTATGAAGACTCTGTTACAATATTTGTTAAAATACTGATGAGAGGAGAAACTAAAATGGTTCTATAATATTTTATCTATATGTATTATTATTTAGGTAAAACATTAGGTATGTATAGCCACTTACTCTGTACCAGGCCCAGTTCTAAGTGCTTTACATTTATTAACTCAGGTAACCTTATTTACAACTCTAGGAAAATAAATACCATTATTATCTCATAAAGCTCAAAACATTGATCATCTCTTTTGATCTTCCAGTGTAGATCTGGTTTAGCACATCTATCTATACTAATAAAAGGGTAATATGCTAATTAGACCGGATAGAAAGGACATCTTCCAGACGTTCTTCTAGACCAGCAGTTCTCAACATGTAGGTCGCGACCCCTTTGGCGGTCAAACGACCCTTTCACAGGGGTTGCCTAAGACCATCCTGCATATCAGATATTTACATTATGATTCATAATAGTAGCAACATTACAGTTATGAAGTAGCAACGAAAATAATTTTATGGTTGGGTCACAACACAAGGAACTGTATTTAAAGGGCCAGAAGGTTGAGAACCACTGTTCTAGACAAAGCCATGGTGACAGAGGCAGAGGCGGTTAGGGGCGATCAGGCCAGTGGGGAGATATTTAGGAGCGATCAGGCTGGCAGGCAGAGGGGTTAGTGATTATCAGGCAGGCAGGCAGAGTGGTTAGGGGCGATCAGGCAGGTGAGCAGTTAGGAGCCAGCAGTCCCGGATTGTGAGAGGGATATCCAACTGCCGGTTTAGGCCCGATTGGGATTGGGCCTAAACCGGCAGTCTGACATCCCCTGAGGGGTCCCGGATTGGAGAAGGTGCAGGCTGGGCTGAGGGACCCACTCCCCCATGCACGGATTTCGTGCACGAGGCCTCTAGTAAACAGTATAACTGTCTCTGTCATCTGTTCAACTATATGACTACAGACTATTTATAATGTAAAACAAGTATCAATATATTAAAGAAATTTTTGTGATCAATCAGTTCTTTATTTAATTATTACTATTAGAACTGTAAGTTTCTGTCATAATTAAAATTTGAGAGATTAGTTTTTTCTAGACTTCATATATTCTTGAGTATTTCAAAAATACCAGCCTCTTACTTCTCATGCTCTTAGCTAAAATATATGGGAATTCGAAGGTCATTAACAAATTACATAAAATCACAGTAATAATACTTTAATTCTCATTTCTCCTCTATGGGCATCAGTTATATAAAGGAAACTAGAGGCCTGGTGCATGAAATTCATGCACGGAGAGGGTGGGTCCCTCAGCCCAGCCTGTACCCTCTCGCAATCTGGGACTGCAGGCTCCTAACCACTCACCTGCCTGCCTGCCTGATTGCCCCGAACCGCTTGCCTGCCTGCCTGATTGCCCCTAACCACTCTGCCTGCCTGCCTGATCGCCCCTAACTGCTCACCTGATTGCCTGATTGCCCCTAACAGCCTGTGCCGTGGTCCCCACTATAGCAGCTTCGTCTGGAAGGACGTCCAGAATGACATCCGGAAGGTTGTTGAGAGAAACACATTGATTGGTTGCCTCCTGCACAAGCCCTGACCAAGGGCCTGGGCCTGGGAGGAGCCTGCAACCACGGTATGTGCCCTTGGCTGCAATCGAACCCAGGACGCTTTGGTCTGCAGGCCAATGCTCTATCCACTGAGCCAAAATGACTAGGACTAATAATACCATTATTAAATAAAATGTGATTTAATTGGTTTCAAATTCTTGAGTAAAAAGATATGCTCATTATGCATTAGTGTTTGATAATAACCAAGTATTTACTGATTGCTATTAAAAGATCAGCATTTTATTAAGTGTTTGTGGATAGCTTATATGTGAAATTGTCTTATATCTATACTAGAAGCCCAATATCTATACCAGTATATCTATACTGGGGTCCCTCGGCATAGCCTGCGTGGAGTGGGCCAAAACCGGCAGTCCAACACTGCCTGCCACTCCTGCTCATCCTGGCACCGCTGCGTCTGCCACCGCCGCCACTAGGTAGGTTCACTGCAGTTCTGCTGAGGTCTCCGGGCTGCTACGGCCAGCCGGCCAGCCGTGAGCCCTGTGTCTGCCTCCCGTCTGTCAGCTGAGCAGTGCTCCTGCTGTGGGAGTGCACTGACTACCAGGGGGCAGCTCCTACATTGAGCGCATCATAGCTACTGGTCATTCGGTCACTTAGGCTTTTACATATATAGATAAAATCCTCTAACATGTCAAGAAAAATAACCAATGTGGACAGTGTAAGGAGCGTGGATGGAAGGGTAAGATGGTATATAACAAAAAAAAAATTCAACCTTAAAATAGGCACATTCTGCCCTTAGCCTTCTAGGCATTTGATATTAAATATTTGTGGTTAGGATCTTGTTTTCAAGGAGGCTACTATGTAATAGGTTCATGTAACATTAAAATATTTTAATTAGGCAGCATACTGATTAGTTTTACTCTGTAAAATTAGTTTCTAAAGCAAATACTAACTTAATATTTAGTTTATACCTGCTCAGCCCTTTTTGCTAATTCACGTTGTATCTTCCTCTTTTCTAACATATCCTGCTCAATTCTGCGTTTTCGTTCCTCCTCTGTTCTCTTCCTTTGTTCCTCTTGTCTTTGTTTCTCCATTTCAGCAAATCTACCTTTAACAGTTCCTGAGAACAGATGAAACATGCTTCATACTTTGCTGTTTTCCTTCTTTACAATTTCATTTACAATTTACCCTTCAAGTGCCTTACCTGTTAGCTTGGGAACATAAGCTTTATCTACTTTAGAAGACACCTCTCCCTCTTCATCAGAAGCAAGCATTTCTTTAATCTAGATGGTTAAATTAATATGAACATGTCACAAATTTAGACTAAACCATATTATATGCAGGGTTGGAAATTAGTTTTAAAATACAGAAAATTAATTATGGTTAATATGAAACATAGTAAATGTGAATAATGAAATGTAAATTAATAAGATGAACATTTGCACAATAGTAAAATAAAATAAAATAACCTCCTGTTTTCTCCTGTTCCATTCTCTCTCTCTAATATATTGTTCTTTTCTTCTTTGCTTTTCGTCTCTAGATCTCCTTTGATTTCTTTCTTCCCTGGCTCTCTGCATGGCTTCAAACTTATCCTTTACATCACCTTTGCCAAGTTTTGGCACATAGGTTTTTGGGACAGGTTTAGATGAAGAAAGCAGAATCTTCATTAGAATAAAATAAAGAAAAGAAAGTTGAAAAAATAAAGATAGGAACAAGTTAGGTAGAGATAGATCAGAATAAGCAATACAAGAAATACTTGTTGAAACAGAAAATAGAAATGAGTTTGAAACCTTTATTTTAATCACAATAATCTGATTATATACCATCTGAAGTCTAAATCTAAAAAAGGAAATTATAGAAAATATGAGAGTAACATTTTATTAATATATAGTACAGAAGTTCCATCTTGTAAGTGCATTCCACTGAAGCTGAGGGCTAGTAAAATATATAAATTGAATACTGGGTTCTAATTTAAAATAACCTGTATTTTATCAACCTACTCCCATTGTTTGCTTAAAAGATACCCAGAGTAATTTTTTAAAATATATTTTTATTGATTTCAGAGAGGAAGGGAGAGGGAGAGAGAGAGAGAAATATCAACACAACAATGATGAGAGAGAGCTACCAATCAGCTGGCTCCTGTACACTCCCCACTAGGGATCTAGCCCCCAACCCAGGCTTGTGCCCTGACAGAGAATTGAACCATGACCTTCTGGTTCATAGTTTGACTCTCAACCACTGAGCAACACTGGCCGGGCACCCAGACTAATTTCAATAAATTAGATGAAGTTGAAAATAAAGCGAAAGTTTAGGCTTTAAAGTTTAATTCACACATTAATATTCTTGCTTGTTTCCATATCTAATATGAGTTAAACTCAAGCCCAGTCCTTTATTTCTCATTTGCAGCCGAGATATGCCAGGGTCTTTGTGCACAGGCATAGACGACTTATATTGTTACTGCCCATCCAGAACTTCTATAAACCAACATTAAAAATGTGTAAGAATGTCCGGCCGGTGTTGCTCAGTGGTTGAGCATCGACCTACGAACCAGGAGGTCATAGTTTAATTCCCAGTCAGGCCATATGCCCTGGTTGCGAGCTCGGTCCCCAGGGTGGGGTATGCAGAAGGCAGCCGATCAATGATTTCTATCATTGATGTTTCATCTCTCTCCCTCTCCTTCCTCTCTGAAATCAATAAAAATATACTTTTTTAATGTGTAAGAAAGCTGTCTCATTCCAAACAGGATGAGCTCTATAGGAAAATTTCCAAATGGCAAAAGAGCTTCCCAAAACTTTTCCTCCACTATAAAACCTAGAAAGCAAATTATTTTCATCATTTTTTTAAATTAAGCTGATCTCTAAAAGAAGTTTCAGTAAATAAAGCTTCAGTTCTTATTTAGAACGCCAAACCCTTTCTCCTAAGCACTAATGCCAAATTGCTAATTAATCTGGTATACCCAGCCCCTATTTTATCTACTTATGGTGTCATTGGTCATTTAAGGTTTTATTATGTTTATAATTTGGGGGCATCACCAAATTTGAGGTTGGATTCTTCTTACTACAACTCTCCATAACTGCAGCCAAGAACCAGAAAATGGCTGAGAAGTTTTATTGCAGCTTCTGGAGGAAGTGCTAGTAGGGACTCTCACCTGAGAGTGAATTATTGCTAACTCCTGAGACTGCAAGTCAAATCCGTTTTTTTAATACTGAAAATATAACTTCTAAGACTTAACAAGATATTAAAATTCTACTCGAGATACTTCCCATCACATCTACTTTACTATCATTCACAAATTTAATAATCATGATTCTTAGATTGGAACCAAAGCAAAACTACGGGACCCAAGACCAGCCTGTGAATTTCTTATGATTTATGTCTTGACACTATGTTGTTATGAATTTGTCAACATGACCTTTCCAATGCTGAACAACTGCCCTTTCAGCAGTTCTACAACCTTAGGTTTTCCCCTTTACTTCTTTTTTAACTCTGGAGACTTACCTCAGCCTTTTGGGAAATATCATTCATGTTTGCTCTATGTCGTCTTGGGGTGATTATGAAGCTTTGTGTATTTTTGCACCTGAAAAATATTAGTATTGAATAAGAACTTTAATGACTTAATTTTTAAAAATGTGCTATGCATTTTTGTAAATATTAATAGTATGTTAATTGCTCCTTAATAAATACTGACATTATCCAGGTAAGTCCTAAATTGTGATAACTCTTGGTTTCTTTCCCCAAGATTTAGGGTAGAGAAGGTACAAGATGCATGGTATTAAAAGATCTTTCTAAGTGTATGGCCCAAAATAGCTTGTGACTATAGCTAGTGCACTTGCAAAGAATTTGTATCCTGCAGTTTTTAGGTGTATTATTCTATAAATATCAACCAGGTCAAGGTGGTTGATAGTGTTATTGAAATTTCTGTCTTCACTTTTTTTTTGGCCTAGTTTTACCAGTCTTCAACTATGTGGAATTGTCTATTTCTTCTTTTAATTCTGTCATTTGTGTCTCATATAATTTCAAACTCTCTTAAGTGCATATACATTATGATTTTAATATCTTCTGTTAGAATTGACCCTTTCATCAGTATGAAATTTCTGTATTACCTCATTGCCTTGAAGTTATCTGATATTAAAATAGCTACATCAGCTTTCTTAAGTTTAGTTTGCATAGTATATCATTTTCTAGCCATTTATTTTCAACCTACCTCTGTCTTGACATGTGAAGTACATCTTTTGGATACAGCACATAATTGGACTTTGCTTTTTTTAAAAAAATCAATTCTGATATTATCTTTTAATTGCCGTGTTTAGTCTATTAACATTTAATGTAATTATTTATATGAATGGACTTAAGTCTGCCATTTACTATTTATTTCTTATTTCTCCCCTCTTTTTTGTTCTTTTATTATTTTTTTTCTTGCCTACTTCTGGATTAATTGAATACTTTTCAGAGTTTTATTGTAATTTGTAAAATTAAAAAATAGCTTTACTAAGTTACAATTGACAGACAATAAAATACACTTTTTAAAAGTGCACAATTTGATAAGTTCTGACATGTATGTATTCATGACACCATCACCACAATCAAGAAAATGAATATATACATTATTCCCAAACGTTTTCTCAGACCCCTTACTTCCTTCCTCTTCCTGCCTCTCCCACCCCACACCCCCAACCCCAGGCAGATATGCTTTCTGTCACTATAGATTAGTTCAAATTTTCTATAAATGGAATTATATAGTATGTACTTGATTGTCTGGCTTTTTTTCACCCAGCATAATTATTTTGAGGTTCATCCACGTTGTTGCATTTGCCAATAGTTCATTCCTTTTTATTACTGATTATTATATGCCACAATTTGCTAACCATTCATCTGTTGATAGACATTAGGGTTGTTTCCAGTTACTGATTATTTCAAATAAAGCTGCTATGAACATTCATGTACAAGTCTTGAGGCAGCCAATAGATGTTTCTCTCTCATCGATGTTTCTATCCCTCTATCTCTCTCCCTTCCTCTCTCTCTAAAATCAATAAAAACATTTTTTTAAAAGAAATGTTTTGTAGTATTCAGTGTGCGGTTCTTCCATATATTTTGTGAGATTGATCCCTAAAAAATTTTCACATTTGTTGTTGCTTTTGTAAATGGTGTGTTTTTAGGTTTCAATTAATAATTGTCTGTTGCTAGTATATAAATACATAATTTATTTTTGTACTATGATCTTATATCCTGCTACCCTGCTAAAGTAAAATTATCAATTCCATTGGGTTTTTGTTTGTTTTAGATTTCATTAGATTTTCTACATAGATGATTGCATCATCTGTGAACACTTTTTCCTTTCCAATCTGGATGTCTTTTATTTCTTTTTGTGGCCTGATGGTACTGGCTAGAATTTCCAGGACAGTGTTAAGTAGAAGTAATGAGAGCAGGTTTCTTTGCCTTGTTCCTGATCTCAGGGGTAAAAATTTTCTCTCACCAATAAGTATGATTTTAGCTATAGATTTTTTCTTAGATGAACTATATCAGATTAAGTTCCTTTCTATTCCTATTATGCTGCAGTAATTTCAGGAATGGGTGTTGGATTATCTAATGCTTTTTCTGTGTCTATTAAGATAATGTGGTTTTAATTTTTATTATGGTGAATTACTTTATTTATTTTCAAATGTTAAGTCAACTTTCCATTCCTAGGATAAACTTCATTGGTCATGATGTATTACCCTATACATCCTGATAAATTCAATTTGATAAAATTTTGTTAAGAAGTTTTCCATCCACGTTTGCGAAAGATATTGGTCTGTAGTGTTTTTTTTAATATTTTTTTTATTGATTTTAGAGAAGAAAGGAGAGATAGAAACATCCATGAGAGAAGCATCAACATTGATTGGCTGCTTCCTGCAAGTTCCCTGTTGGGGATCAGCTTGCAACCTGGGAATCAAACCAATCACCTCTTGGTGCATGGGTCAGCGCTCAGTCACTGAGCCACACAGGCCAGGTGGTTTGTAGTTTTATATTCTTGTAATACCTGTGTGATTGTTTGTTCAATTTTTTTGTATTGATTTTAGAGAGCAAGGGTGTGGGGGAGAGAGATAGAAACATCAATGATGAGAGAGAATTATAGATTGGTTGCCTCCTACATGGTCCCTACTGGGAAATGAGCTCAAAACCCAAGAATCGAACCATGACCTGCTGGTACATAGGTTGACCCTCAACTACTGAGCCACACCTGTTTTTGTTAACTGAGTAATACTTCTCTCACAGAATGAGTTGGGAAGTATTTTCTCTTCTTTAATTTTCTGTAATAGTGCATGTAGAGTTGTTATTATTTTTTTCCTTAAATGTTTGCAAGAACTTACCAATGAAATCATCTGGGGCTAGTTTTCTTTGTGTGAAGAGATAATATGATGGGGTGAGTGGGTCTCGATTCCATGTAACTATTAACAAAGTGATAACTGTTGTAGTTTAATGGGCCTGTGGGTGCTTATACATTACTAACAACAATTACTAATAGCCCTGGCCAGTTTGGCTTAGTGGATAGAGCGTTGGCCTGAGGACTGAAGGGTCCCAGGTTAGATTCTGGTAAAGGGCACATGCCCAGGTTGTTGGCTCGATTCCCAGTGGGGACTGTGCAGAAGGCAGCTGATCAATGATTCTCTCTCATCATTGATGTTTCTATCTCTCGCTCCCTCTCCCTTCCTCCCTGAAATCAATAAAAATATATTTAAAAAAACAATTACTAATAAAAGCAGGCCATGCTTGGATGAAAGTAGGTCATTAATCAAGGTTTACAAGCAATCTACTTCTTTGTGCCTGAGATAAAAATAACAATCAGCTCTAGTCCTATTCGCTTATCTGAGCCATTCTATAATATCTAGAGTTACCTATCAGATATTTCTTCTTGTATAGCCAACAAAATCTACCCTTAATACTCATCGTTTCTCAAACCTTAAAGTTACTACTGGTTTATTTTTCTATATCTCCTACATTTTAATAGATTGTCAAGATTGTGAATGTTGCTTTCAAATTTGTTCTTACATGTTACTTCACTATTTCCACTGCCCCCATTCTACTATAAGTCTTCACCTCACATTTTGATTACCATAATTTGATCATAAGACCTAAATCCAAGTTCCAACACTGTTGCTTCCTAGTTAGGATTAGAAAAGATAACATGTGTAACAACTCTATCTATAATAATATCTAACATTAGTAGATATCAATAATTTTGATTCATTTCATTACTCCTAGTGTCCCTCACTACAATGTACCCTCTTCAGTAAAAACCTACAATTCCCTGCAAGTGAGCAGGGAACCTTTAAATTCATTTGTATCATTTAAGAGGAATACCAAAGGGTACGAAGAAAATTTGAGCAATCTCATATAGGACTATGGGGATTGATAATTTTAGCTGAATTAATTGGCCAGATGAACTTCAAGAAGATTTTTTCCCTGGTAAAATGAAAGAAAATTGTGTGGCTTGGTGACAATAAAGAATTACCCTGTCAAAAATAGTCGGGAGAATAAATGAATCAGCTAGCTCTCTTCATCAAAGAAGATTTTTTTTTAAATCTTCAAATTATATCTTGACTTATTTATAGAATCCGAATGAAATAAGATTGATCTTTAAACTTTACTGAGTAAAACCAATTAGAATAGTTCTTTAAATGTCATTTCAGTATTTTGAGCTCCGTTTTTGAAAGTCTGTGAAAATTCGAACAGTACTAAACCTTAGCTTTTTTGGTTAAAATATAAGCAAGTGATCCTTTCCTGATAATTGGCTCTGTTCTACATTTTGAGGGTAAAGAGTTTTAGCAAAATACACGAGCTTTTTGTGTTATGGAATTGTTTTTTAAGGTCTAGATTACAAACCAAGAGGACTCATATCTCTTAACTAGCTTTATGTTAGAGAAACTAATTTTAATATCAAGCAGATAAATACTTACAGGATTCCTTTATAAACAGTTTTTTAAAGGTATGTCTCTGGCTGGTAGAAACAACAGTGTATTCCAACTGTTAACTCAGTTGTCTTTCTGTGCTAAACCAAGGTTAAAAGTATAAATTTGACTATATTTGGTTTATTAGCTTCACAGGAAAGAATTCTATTCCACAGTCACTGATTGTATTGTCTAATCTAAATCCACCATCTCACTAACACACTCCTAGATCACAATATGAAAAAAAAGATAATGATGAAAATAATCCAAGCTAACATTTATTAAGCCTTTATTGTGTGCCAGGTAATGTGCCAATTTACTCCCCACAAGAACCCTTTAAGGAAATTCTATTATCAAACCCTGTCTCAAAACAAAAAGAAAAAGTCTAAGCCTAGTAATTTAAAATTTCTTAAAATATTAGTACAAAAATAATGTCTTAGAGTTTATCTAATAGGATTTGAAGTCTTCTGTAAATTATTACAGCTGGGAAAAATCAAGTGACTTGCCTAAGACCACACAATTAATGAGTCATGGACACAGGATAAAAATGGGCAGTTTGTCTACAGAGTCTGCACTCTTGCCCATTGTATTATGCTGATGCCAAGAAAATAGTACAACTGGTGTGTGTGATAGGGATGGGGGCGTAGTT